ATGTATGTAGTATTTCATCTGAGCAAAGGCCAATTTATAACCTCACGCTGCCAGTCAGATATATTCTTCCATACCTCCATGTTTTTTCTATCTGTACATTCCAGACCTGAATTAAACCTGTCTACTTTAGATTCTAGACCTGAATTAACATACCTATTCTTTCCTGAATTGAAAAGATCATCATAACATATATCCATTTAAATGTATCTAATAACTCAACCTCTGAATTCCCTTAGCTGACTTGATTACAACACTGCTTCCTCCCTGCTTTCCCTTGAACGTTTTTAGTGATAAATCTAGAAATTAGTGAGCCTGAATTGTCCTAAATTGCTTAAGTTGTAACTGCATTACTTCAACCTGACAAATTTAAACTTTGTTATGTAACAGGCAGCTCCAATGTAGACGATACAAAGAAAGCTCTGAAGCATTTCCTCAATTAAATAATTGTTATGTCTCTGTTCTTTCAGCTATCTTCCACCTCTGCATTTCAAATACAGCTATTATGAGAAACACTGGAGTGGTGGCACAAGGACAGAAGGGAAATTTTGCAAATGAAGTTGAGGAGTTCCTTCCTTGACACCGATGGCAGCATGAATAATCCAATGCTTCCCCAGGCTGTGCTTGAGCCAGCTGTGGCCAACTCCAGAGCCAAGGAAGGCAGCCGCCAGCACACCTCCAGCTCCGTCCGCTCTGGGCCTCTCCTGGGAACTGCACTCACAGAATCACACAGAATCGTTTAGGTTGGAAGGGACCTCTGGAGATCATCTAGTCCAACCTCCCTGCTCAAGCAGGGACCTCCAGAGCATATTGCCCAGGATCACATCCAGACGGGTTTTGAATATCTCCAGCGAAGGAGACTCCACCACCTCTCGGGGCAACCTGTTCCAATGCTCTGTCACCCTCACAGTGAAGAAGTTTTTTCTCAGGTTCAGATGGAAAACTGAAGTTTTAAAACTCCTTCCAGCTGAGCAATCGCTGTTTCCTTCTCCCATCGTGGTCACTCCCCACCTCTGCTCAGGGAAGCCTGATGCCTTCCTGTCTCCAATGCTGCCCACATCTCCAGTCCTGTCCCCCAAATTCTCCAACTCTGGCATGTCCTCAAGCAGAATTGGTTTTTGCAAGCAGGATCCTATTTCATTTACTGTATGGGCAGAACACTTTTCTCTAGTGTATGACACATGCCAGTCATTCAGGATAAACTGGGACTTTGCTAATACCAAATGTCCTATTGTTCACATCCTCCTTTTCAAATTAATTAGGGAAATGTAAATGAACTTGTAATGTTGCATTGAGACTTTTCATTTCGTTTCTCACTCTTTTGGCTTTGAGAATTCTTATTTCCCTTTCTTACATTAGTCATTACTCAGTCAACACAGTAAAATAAAGCACGTGTACAGTTACTGAATCACTCACTCTTACTAGCTTTCCCACAATTGAAGAAACACTATCATCATTATGTCAAACAAATCTGCTTTGAGGAAATTACAAATTTGCTTGATAGGTAAGATACATAAGATAGGCTTTCCTAAAGTAGATTTAATAGATAAGAACATTCTAATTTTAAAAAATAAGGATTTAATGCCAATTCAGCTCACATGAAATAGCTTTAGAACAGAGTAACTGACAGATCTCAAAACCTTATAGGCAATTGGGACTGATTATTAAAGTGTTATGAAAATGTTTTCAACATGAATGTTAAGGATCAGTACTATACTCACTGATCCAAATTTGTAAAAAGTGAAGAAAAATTTAAAAACCCAAAATTACTTGAGCTTAGACAAAATGCCTTTCAGTGAGACACAGAGAGATCACTTTGTTTAGCTTACCAAAAAAAGAATATTGAGAGGTAACTTCATTAGAATAAGAAAGTATGTTTTGGGGCAAAACATATCTTTAATCTACCTGGGAAGGTGATAATATAAAGCAAAGGCTGGAAGCTACAGTTAGATACCTTCAGATTAAAAGGTGCACAGACACTTTTTGTTATTATTTTGATGCTGAAGATGGTTCATTATTGGAACAAATTACTTAAAGAAATGGTGCCTTTTCATCTTTTGATTCTTTTATATCAAGACTGAATATTAAACTTGAAGGTTAGCAGATGAATATTACAGCATCTGATCACATGGAAGAAATACTGATCCCTTATAACTGAATTGTGTGAGTCCGTAACAGTTGAACAACATCTAAGCTTTTTGCTTTTAACCTGTCTGCAAGAAAACCAAAATCCGCTATCATACTATAAATAGTAGGGTTAATGAGCAAGGTTAATCACAAACGAAAGTATTTTTCTACTAGACTCTTCAGGCTTATAATAAAACACAAAGGAAGGTATTAAAATACAAGTAAAAAAATAGTATTATTGTTGTACTCTTTCGGTAAAAACACTTTTGAAATGCACTCTTCCTTTTTATCTTAAAAGTAAAGTATTTGCATATGTCTATGGTTGATAAAGTCACTACACTCATGACCTAGTAAGTTTAAATACAGGAAATAGCTTAAATATTCAATATGAAAAAACATCAAATAAGAGAAATTCATAATTAAACTATCCTATTTTTCCTTAAATAGTTGCATTTGTTTCTTGCAAACCTTTGACAAAATTCTATTTAAATAACACTTTTTAAACATAACTGAGTGCTTTTTATTCTTCAGATTTTCTATTACATATTTATTTTACTAATTAATTTCCGCACACAAAAGTATGCCTAGCCCAGGCTCGAGGCAGACGAACGGTTGTAAACAAAACAACTCACCCCACACACCTACTTCCCTTAATCCATTTGAAATTGCTGGTGATATTTAAATAAACACAGCCTCTTTGTCCCGCATCCTTCAGTAGAAGTCATAATTAGAGAACAGAGTTCTGCAATTGCTCGTTGTGGCTACCATTATAACACCACTACAGGCCAGGGCTGAAGGGAAGGGCTTTAAAAAACGGCCACCACTGAGAAGTTTTACCTGGTACAAGTGCGCTAAGCTGGTTTGTGGGGCAGAAAACACGTGTGACCTGACATTCCCACGGAGCGGAACGCAAGGCGTGAATAACCTTAAGTCCCGGTCAACCATCACAGTATCCTGCAAACCCGTCATTAGCTCACTTTCAGTGGGAATATTAACCACGTCTGGTTAAAGGCAGAAGAGGCGATTTAAGGCTTTCTTAAAAACTGCTTTTTTAAAGATACCACTCAGGTCTAGCCGATGCCAACCTCCTGGGCTCCACAGAGCAGCCACTGCGGTAGTTTCTAGCAGAAGGGTGGAAAAACCTGGCTTGCGTACGCATGCAGCGTGAACCCAGTCCTGCAGCGCTTGTGCAAACAGGTCCACCAGCGCGGATGGAACTTTAAACATCAAGCCCTAAATCAACACGATCACGTGCTTCTGGAGAACGGCCCTTCTCCAAACAGGCTCATGAACACGCAACAATTTTTTCAGACAAAACTACAGGTAAAAAAAGTTCAAAACAGAAACCCTAAAAAAAGTTTCAGGAAATCTTACATAGACCCTCAGCTGCAGAGAGGTCCCAGGCTGCCATTCAACCACAGTTAGCAAAGCACTAATCTATTATGGTAGTAAATTATTTCTTTAGGCAAATTGTACTAAAACCTAAGTACTAATCCACAGTTCTAATTCACCTTCTTAGGCACACTCCCCCACTTGCAGACAGTAGATCTAATTGTCAGACTGCACGAAACTCCACAGACAGGAGTGGAGCTAAAGAGATCAAAAGCAAACGAGAAATGAGCTCTGCCACCAGCTTTTTTTTTTTTTTGGTTGAATGGGCCTGCTTTTTATTCCCAGATGATTTTAAGAGAATCTAGCTGTTGAATTAATGGATGAAGATGCAGTATGTTAATAATGTTTTTATTGTGTTTTCTCTTGGAAAAAAAAGAAGTCGTTTTTTCTCTTGGAAAAAAAAAAAAAAGCAGTTTGAGGAAATACAGACCTATTTCAAAAAATTAACAGAATGACTTAAATCCCCAGAAAGCCTTTTCCCCCACTACTCTTAAGAAGGTGCAGTTCCTTCACTCTAAACATCCATCCTGCTCTAAGTTTTTCCACCCCACCAAAGAGCATTACAAAGAAAAGAAAAAAAAAAATCAAAGCCATCATGTAAACTCCAGAAAATAAACAAGAAGTGGAAAAAGTAAATAAAACTGCAAGTGGTTGACAGTGCTATCAGTGGAGCAGCGACGTCTTACTCGTGAGACCTCTTACTGGTGTTATTTTTGCAGGTACAGGAAGGAGGCAATGCCGGGGGTGGGGGAGGACGCTGCTTTCTGTAGCCACCAAATCGTCCCCCTC